TATGGAAATTTTACCGAGTAAATAGTGACGCGAAAATCCGATGGAACATAGAAATAGCGAAATAAGCAAAACGATGGAGTAATGGATAGCGGCTTGAATTGAGGAATCGGAGAGCCGAGTTCGAATTCCAGTCGAATCCATTACATTCACTTACGTGCTAATACCCTTGGGAATGGTATGAATCCTCTTCGCCCCCCCAGCTATGGGTAAATAGCAGGAGAGACTGGGTTCTATAGCCTTGGATGGCAACTGGTCTACCACAAAAAAAAATGGTAACCTATTGCGAGGGAAAAAAATCTGCCTCGTCAGTCATGTATCAAAAGATACATGATTGCCTAAGCGTGTATCCCGCATGGCACATAACTGACTAAGGTATAAAAGATTGAAACAAAAATAGCACAGGATTACTAAGTGATATCAGTCTATACGACAGTGAATACCGGCTAATTTCCTTACAGAGAAAGAGGAGACATGAGGCAACAGAAGCAAAGAAAATAGTGCTGAACTATGTAATATCAATCCTCTTATATGGCAGTGAATACCGAACAATTTCCTTACAGATGAAGACCTAAACCGATAGAGATGTGATTCTAACGAGGAAAGTTGAGAAGACAACGGACAGAATACGTGAGTAACAAGAAAGTCTTGAAGAAAACAGAACAAAGACAATTGGAATTTCTGGGACACGTTACTAGAAAAGAATGGTCAAGAGAAGGAAACATTGGCATGAAAGCAAGAAAAGCATGGGAAAGCGCTGGTAACCTAGCTAACTGTGGAACAGACTCCCACGTTGGTGCTTTCCCGGCCACAGCAATCTTAATCTATTCAATTATCTTTCCCACCTATCCCCATGAACTGCACTTCTTAGTCCCCCCCTTCCACCGTTTACACTCATGCAACAACCTTATTATATAACTCCCTACCTTGATTTATTTTTGTTTCTTTTATTGGGTGGTCATTTAAAAAAAGATGGTTTGTGTAAATGGATAAGAGTTGTGGGGGGGGGGAGATATAATGGGTAAAAAAATGAAAATAAAAACTACAAAAGACAGGAAGTTGTAGAAAGCTATGATCAGCCGAGTCTTGAAAAGATATGGAGTATTACATATAAATTCCTTTGGCAAAGTGATGAATTCGTCTCGCAGAGTTTTGTTTTTTTTTTTTTTTTAATTTCTGACCGTAGACTGACGGTTCGAATTCTGACTCGTCTAGAATTAATAATAGACAAGAATTTATTAAGATACTTTTGATTGATTCTCTCTTTTCTTCCTCTTCCTCTCTCTCTCTTTTCTTCCTCTCTCTTCCTCTCTCTCTCTCTCTCTCTCTTCTTCCTCTCTCTCTCTTTTCTTCCTCTCTCTTCCTCTCTCTCTCTTCCTCTCTCTCTCTCTTTCTTCCTCTCTCTTTCTCTCTCTCTCTTTTCTTCCTCTTTCTCTCTCTCTCTTTTCTTCCTCTTTCTCTCTCTCTCTTTTCTTCCTCTTTCTCTCTCTCTCTTTTCTTCCTCTTTCTCTCTCTCTCTTTTCTTCCTCTTTCTCTCTCTCTCTTTTCTTCCTCTTTCTCTCTCTCTCTTTTCTTCCTCTTTCTCTCTCTCTCTTTTCTTCCTCTTTCTCTCTCTCTCTCTCTTTTCTTCCTCTTTCTCTCTCTCTCTCTTTTCTTCCTCTTTCTCTCTTTTCTTCCTCTCTTCCTCTCTCTCTCTTTTCTTCCTCTCTCTCTCTCTCTCTCTTTTCTTCCTCTCTTCTCTCTCTCTCTTTTCTTCTCTCTTCCTCTCTCTCTCTTTTCTTCTCTCTTCTCTCTCTCTCTTTTCTTCCTCTCTTCCTCTCTCTTTTCTTCCTCTTCTCTCTCTCTCTTTTCTTCCTCTCTTCCTCTCTCTCTCTTTTCTTCCTCTCTTCCTCTCTCTCTCTTTTCTTCCTCTCTTCCTCTCTCTCTCTTTTCTTCCTCTCTTCCTCTCTCTCTCTTTTTCCTCCTCTCTTCCTCTTCTTCTCTCTTTTCTTCCTCTCTTTCCTCTCTCTCTCTCTTTTCTTCCTCTCTTCTCTTCTTCCTCTCTTTTCTTTCTTCTTTCTTTTCTTCTCTCTTCCTCTTTCTCTCTCTCTTTTTCTTCTCTCTTTTTTTTTCTTTCTTTCTCTCTCTCCTTGTTCTTCCTCTCTCTCTCTCTTTTTCTTTCTTTCTCTCTCTCTTTTCTTCCTCTTTCTCTCTCTCTTTTCTTCCTCTTTCTCTCTCTCTCTTTCTTCCTCTTTCTCTCTCTCTCTTTTCTTCCTCTTTCTCTCTCTCTTTTCTTCCTCTTTCTCTCTCTCTCTTTTCTTCCTCTTTCTCTCTCTTTTTTCTCTTTTTCTTTTTCTCTCTCTTTCTCTCTTTTCTTCCTCTTTCTCTCTCTTTCTTTCCTCTTTTCTTTCTCTCTCTTTTCTCTCTCTCTCTCTCTTTTCTTCCTCTTTTCTCTCTCTTTCTTCCTCTCTCTCTCTCTCTTTTTCTCTCTCTCTCTCTCTCTTTTCTTCTTTCTTTCTCTCTCTTTTCTTCCTCTTTCTCTCTCTCTCTTTTTCTCTTTCTCTCTCTCTCTTTTTTCTTCCTCTTTCTCTCTCTCTCTTTTCTTCCTCTTTCTCTCTCTCTCTTTTTCTTCCTTTCTCTCTCTCTCTTTTTTCTTTCCTCTCTCTCTCTCTCTTTTCTTCCTCTTTCTCTCTCTCTCTCTTTTCTTCCTCTTTCTCTCTCTCTCTCTTTTCTTCCTCTTTCTCTCTCTCTCTCTTTTCTTCCTCTTTCTCTCTCTCTCTCTTTTTTTCTTCTTTCTCTTTTCTTCTTTCTCTTTTCTTCTTCTCTCTCTTTTCTTCTTTCTCTCTCTTTTCTTTTTCTCTTCTTTTCTTTTTCTCTTCTTTTCTTTTTCTCTTCTTTTCTTTTTCTCTTCTTTTCTTTTTCTCTTCTTTTCTTTTTCTCTTTTTCTCTCTTTTCTTTTTCTCTCTTTTCTTTTCTTTCTCACTCTCACTCTCTCTTTCTCTCTCTCACTCTTTTTCTAATAAAACTTATCAGCCTTCTGAGGGTTATTTAAAGTCAAAATATAATTTGATAATTTTAATTGGTTGTAAGAAGAATCTTTTGCTGTTGAATATTACATTATCAGTTATTTCTGAGTTTGGGGATTTTTTTTTTTTTTTTTTTTTTAGACTTACAATGATTTTTCCAGGTAGAAGTTTACTATTTAATCTATAGCTAGAGGGAGGGATAAATTCATAACTTCCCCAAGGATATTTGGGCGTAAGTGAGTGTACAAAAGCTGCTTGAAATTCGAACTCTGCTCTCCGATTATTTTAATTCCGAACCTCTATCCATTACACCACCCACACATTCACATAATGAGTAAGCTCGCTCTATTTAATATTTCTCTATTTCTACTTGTAATAACTTTAAAAATAATCAAACATTGACGGGTATAATACTCTTCTTCTTTTTTTTCTGCTGAATTCGATCTGGCGTCTTGAAGACTATTTTTTTGGTTTAAGCTCATTTCTACTAATAAAGATTTTCTCAGAATGCATTACTTTCTGCACAGCTTACATATCTAAGCAATATCCCCGTTCAAAATTTGCTTCAGGCGATAGACGAAACTCATTCAGTTGCGCCATTGAGATGGACTGATGTGAAAGATGTTTGCGCATGCGTGGGTGATTTATGTACCTCTCTATTAGAGAATGGACGGGATTTATGATGGCGTCGCATGGTTTATGACCACAGCTCGCTTCGCCCGTGTTCGTTTGCTAGTATATGTAAGTTTGCGAATACCAGTCTGTGAATTGAACTGGGATATAAAAAAAAATGTTTCCGCCTTTGTGCTGTATAGATATTTCCGGATGCCGTTTTAAGGTTTGAACTGGAGACGAAGAGGAAAACATTATTTACTTGTATTTGCTTTTATACACTGCGACTCGCATTATTAGCCACTTTTAATTTTCCTCGTCTTTGGAAAACTAATGAAAGCATTCATGGAAATATCTACGCTCTTAATGTACAGAATATGTCATGTTATATATATCTGCAGATATGTAGAAAAATAGGAAAGAACACGTTAGGTAAATAATCTTTAGTATTTTTGTTTTTATTTTTAAAAAACAGTGCTCCATACAGAAGTAGAGCTTAAATTATAATTATATTTTTAAAAAAATAGGATTCCTTCGCTACATAAGAGTTCTCATGTTTCAAAACGAGAGCCGAAAACCTCAATATAATTATTAAAATTAAATTGAGTTAACGTATCAAGCCCTGTTTCATCCTCAAGCGAAAATTTAGGAATAACCAATTTTGAAATTTACGCATCTTTTATAAGCATGTTCATTCGCAAAATTAATTACTATGGAAACTGCTGGGGCGACCATTTTGGTAAGGGGTCTAAGAGATAATTTTTATCCACATATCGGTCACCTTCGGAAAGAGGTCAAGCTGAGATAGTGGGGGCATTCATTTCAAAGCGAATGATGGCATTCATATAATATTAGCAGATAAGGTTGGAGCATTGCTGCTATATCTGAGATAGTGCTGTCCAGCCTCGACAGTACGAAAGCAATTACTCACAACTCTGCAGGATCCGCCACGCCATACTTACGGCAGAATTTTCTTTCGTGTTCATTTTGATAAGGAGTAGGTTTCACTCGGACAACTTCTTCTCCAGAACTGTTTCTTTGGGAAACAGACGCCTGGGGAGATGCTTCCCTGACAAGGCATTCTGAGTAAGACGATAAACTACACCCAACAGGAAGGCCTCTGATCAGCAGGTTTTGAGGAGCGTGAAAGCCTCTCTTGACCCGGGGTGGTAGCACCTATTAGGGTCCCAGCTATTGGTAAACTGGGATTAAAACACTATGAAAGTGTAAAAATAAAAATAGTTTTTAATAACAGCAATACAGTTTTGTAAAAAACAAAAAAATTAGCAGCATTAAAAAATCTTGTCGGCATTAAATAACCCATTGAGGTGTTGATATGCCGTAAACCAAACCACCTTGTCAGCATCTTAACTGAGGCTTACGAACGTATCACATTGAAACACCGGGTTCCGCATGATCTCCGTAGTTAAGCAATGTCGAGCCGGGTCAGTATCTAGATGGGTAACCGATTAGGAATACCAGGGGCTGTAAGTTTGGATGCGTAGATGGTGTAATGAATAATGGCACGGAATTGTTAATCGGAAGGCAGAGTTCTAATTGCCGTTGGTTTCTTTTATGTTCCCTTGCGTGCAAATACCCTGACGTCGTGATGCCTGGTCAGAATCAGTTACATTACAGACTTTTCTTTGTCAAGAATCTCAAGATGTACAGCAAGAGTATTATACCAGCTAGGGCAACAGTATTCAATGAAGGAATGGTTTTTGGTTGGGTTGGTTTGGTTTGTTTTACGGCACATCAATCTCAATGGGTTTTTTTAATGTCGACTAAATTTTTATTGCCGGTAATAATTTTACCCCAAAAAACTTATTGCCGGTAATAATTCAAAAAAAAGTATTGACGGTAATAATTCCCCCCCCCCAAAGTAATGCCGGTAATAATTTCCCCCACCCAAAGTATTGCCAGTAATAATTTCCCCCAAAAAAAGTATTGCCGGTAATATCCCCCAACGTATTGCCGGTAACAAATACACACACACCAAAAAAGTATTGCCGGTAACAATCCCCCCCACTCCAAGTATTGCCGGTAATTTTTTTTTTTTTTTTCAAAAAAGTATTGTTGGTAATATTTATTTTTTAAAAACATTGTTGGTAATATTTTTTCAAAAATGTATTGCTGGTAATAGTTTTTTTACAAAGTATTTCTGGTATAAAAACCCATTTATATAAATATATATATTATTTTGCTTGTCATTATTTTTATTTTAATCGGTGTTTTTTAGTAACGTAGTATAAATTTGTTTATATCGCTTATTTAATAGTTTTGGTTTGGGAAGATAAAGCTATTTATTTTATGGGGGGTTGATTATTGTCGTTTATTCTAACTATTATTTTGGCAGGAGCAGTTTTTAATTTGTTTATTCATGTATTTATTTCGATTGATTATCTTTCTTTTCTAACGGTTACTTTATCGGGATCTGGTTTGTTTATTTATTTGGATGAATTTAAATTAATTTACTTGTTTTTTTATTTATTTATTATACTGTATATTTTTATTTATTCTTCGGTTTTCGATTTTTATGTAACGTAATATTTTTTATCGTTATTTAACAGTTATAGCTATGTTTTTCGTCCGATTTTTGGTTTGATTTTTATAGTCTAATATTTTGGTCATAATAGTTTGTTAATTTGTTTATTATTTACTTTATTTATTTGGTTTCATTGATTTTGTTTTTTATTTTTTATTTATTCTATTTCGTCTATTCTAATGGGTGTGATTTGGAAATTTGTTTTCTTTTACTTCATTGTCATTTTGTTTTTCATTTTTTATTTTATTTTTTTCAGTTTTCGATTTTTAAGTAATGTTGTAAAAAAAAAAAAAATTTGTTTTCCTGTCTGCATTCTAAGATGAGCTCGGATCATTTATTTAATTTATTTTGGTCTGGGAAGGTAATGATAGCTATTTTTTCTTCCAAGCAAAGTTTGCAAGTTTTTGATTGGTTGTTGTAGGCTGATGACCTTTTCCTTATTTTCCAAGATATTTTTGTTGTGATGTGCGTTTTGTTTTTAATTTCTCAGATATACTTATAAAGCAATGTGCTGTTCGCATAATTACTATTTGTGAAAGATGTTTTATGTGCATAATTTTCAGTTTTTTGGATGATTTTTGTTTTTCCAGGCTTTAAGACTCGCCATTTTAAATTCTTTTAATCATACAATAAGAATCAAAAAATCGTTTTTTGTTTTTGTTTTTTGGGGGTTTTTTTTTGTGTGTGTGTGTGTGTGTGTGTGTGTTTTTAGGTGGGGTTGTTAGTAGTTACTTCTGTAAATAACTTACCATTAATATAGGCCGTTTTTGTGTGAGGCGATTCCGAACCTGTAGACTCGAGCAAAAAATCCCTGTAGACCCCCGCATACACGGGCTCTTTTTTGTCTACCTCCCCAGACGTGACTTTACGCTTTCTGGGTTATTTTGTGTCCGAAGGCAGAGAGTTCGACAAGTCCGCCTGAAACGGCAGATTTGGGACAATCTTATTGGCTCAGAAGAAATCCCAGCATGCCTTTGTATGCTTCAGCCAGTAAATTGTAGTCATTCCCATTGGCATTGAAACCAACAGTTAAGAACTAAATTTTGTATGAATATTTTAAATGAGATGTTTAAAGACCTACTGTACTAGTGCTGTAACATTTACTCAAAGTAATAACTGACAAGGAATAATCCATTTTAGACATAAGATTAGGAGATACTCCCACTCAGCGCTATGTTATCGACTGTGTTGTAACTTCAGTTAAGAGTCATACATGATACACGCCTGGGCGATCATTAGGCAGATTTTCCCGCTGTCGGTTGCCGTTTCTTTCTGCAATAGTCTGGTTGCTAAGCAAGGCTACAGAAGCCAGTCTGTTCTGCTATTCAAACTATAGCTGGTGGGGGAGATGGATTCATAGCTTTCTCAAGGGTGCGTAAGTGGATGTAACGAATTCTACCGGAATTCGAACTCGGCTCTCCGAATTCTCAATCCAAGCCGATATCTATTACACCACAACTCACATCCTGTGCTTTAACTTACTACAGCTTAAAAGCGAAATGAGTGACTCGGAAATAAGATTGTGATGCACCAGTATTTCAATGTTAGAAATTCAGCATTTTTTTTGTCTTTTACGCTGGGTTGAACAAAAGTAGATAATTTGCAACTAAATACTGAGGCTGTTCCTTTTTGTATACGTTTTATAGGGTTATACTTGGATGTACACCAAATTTACATTGACAGTTATATTGAAAACTAAATAACTCGACAATATTGCTATTAAATACATAATGCTAAAGTATATCAGACTATCACTATAAAACCTAGTGCTGAGAAACGGCTCTAGCAAACACCCAGCCAATAAAACAACTTATTGTCTATACTCATTATTGTAATCCTCATCAGTTCCATGAACAGATGTGGTGGTAGTGTCCTTACACAGCTGAGCACCTGACAGGTTCCTTCCACATATCTAGACACAATGACGGAGAAGTATTCATTCAAACGTACCATGTTTTGGGCAAGTAAACATGGAAACAAAAAGGAAACTTATACTTACCAGGAAGAGGCAGTTGAAATTTCTGGGGCACGTAACGAGGAAGGACGGCTTGGAAAATCTGATACCCACAGGACAGATTTATGGAGAGATGAAAGCAGCGCGTAAAATACTTAATGAACTTGAGCAAAAGGATGGTAGAACAGGGTTTGGGAGATATAGCAAAAAGACAAAACCTATTAAGAGTTACAAGGAACAGGAAGATGTGGAGGGCCATGATCACCAACGTCCTGAAGGAGCACAGCACATAAAAGAAGCTGATAATATTTTTATAGAATTTCTCCTAACAGGACCTAATTGTTTCAACCTGTTGCAAGTAGAGTCAAATGCTATGTTAGCTAAGTCTACAAGTACTTTGTACAACAGTTGCTTTATTTTATGTAATCTTAAATTGTTCTACTTACAGAACAAAATAATGTCTTAAACACTCACAACTGACATCTTTTTCTTAGATTTCATTAGCAATAAGGTAATAATTAGAGTTGCAACCAAGAGTGACTTTTGATTTTATGAAATAAGATTCACACAAGTGGGAAGGATTTTGATAAAATTGTTTAATACTTACATTCATACTACAAGATATGTGATAATATTCATATACCTTTTACTAAATCTGTCTATATTTCTGAGATGAGGTATTATGTACAGTATTTACATTAGTCGGACTATTGTCCTCATCTTTGTCGCCATATTTGTCACAACATTTCGGCCGTTGTACGCTCCGGCCTTCTTCGGGTGGTTGGAATTTCAAGGGCACATGGCACAGTGGATAAAGGCGTTGGTTAGATCCAGTGACAGACCCAAAGAAGGTGAGTTCAATACCTGGTTAAGGCAGTGGAGAATTTCAGAGGGAAAATTAGCAGGAGATAACTGATAACTGACATCCATCAAACATGGCACGTGGAACTAGAACAGTCTACCCCAGTGATCGAAATAAAGGGTTCAGTTCGAAATTCCAACCACCTGAAGAAGGCCGGAGCGTACAACGGCCGAAACGTTGTGACAAATATGGTGACAAAGATGAGGACAATAGTCCGACTAATGTAAATACTGTACCTTTTACTAAATGTAATCTAATTACTTTTAAAATATTGTTTCAGATTATACTGTGACCTTATAATAAAAAAACAAGGCCAGTTTTTAGACATTTTATAAAGTGATAACAAAGCAACAGAAATGTTGTTCTACAGGAAGATGCTGAGGATACCATGGGCCAAACATGTGAGCAACAATGGGGTTTTGAAGATAATGGAAACAAAAAGGAAACATACTTAACACCAAGAAGAGGCAGCTGAGGTTTCTGGAGCATGTAATGAGGAATGAAGGCTTGAAAAATCTGATACTCACAGGACAGATTGTGGAGAAAGAGAGAAAGGAAATCAGCGTGTAACATACTTGATGATCTTGAGTAAATGGATAGCAGAACACAGGAGAAATAACAAAAAGACAAAACTTATTAAGAGATACAAGGGACAGGAAGATGTAGAGAGCCATGATCGCGTACGTCCTGAAAGGACACGGCACATAAATATGAAGATCTAGAGGCGAAGCTCGTTCCTCTCCGGGTCAAACTAAAAGTGATGTTCTCCAACTTCAAGGCTCGTCTTTGTCACGCTCATGTAGACGTTGATTCCGTCGGAATAACCCTCCGCCCTGACTGTTGACGTTAGTCTAATAAGAGCTCCACCCAGCGATGCTGTTTTATCTAAGGCTCTGGCTGAATACATAGCTATGATGTCTACCCTATTGTGCTAGATAGCTGTTGACCCTAGAAGAAGATTCATCTGCCCTTTGACAGGTCTTGTTTTAATCCTGTTGGGTGTCTCATCACACTCCTCACCAGGAAAAGCTTGGTGTGAAAATTGGTTTAACTGCTGATGGCCTGAGCATACAACAGTACTGAGTTATATGATGCCAATAGCATTCGTAGAGTGACCCGACATAAATGGT